AAGGATTACAAATTTGAGGCCAGCCTCTGTAATTTAGTGAGGCCCTGATTCAAAATTAAAAAAATAAGATGTAGCTCAGTGGTAGAGCCCCATTGGATTCAATCCTCAAAATGAAACAAACAAAATGAAAAGCCTCTCAAAGTTCTCCCTGCTTACCTACTCTGGATATGTTTCATCATCTGACATCAGAAAACAATCTTGAGCTCAGCAGCACTGAAATGAGACTCACTTGGGGAGCCAGGGAAGGTGAGACAAAGATGCCAAGGGTCCAGATATGCATGTCATGTACTTTCAGGCTACATGTTTTTGTTGGCTGTCATAACTGATCCAAGTAGTCACAATTCCAGAAATGAACTGTCAAATAATAACTCAGAAACATTTCATTACTTGTATATTGTTTAGAATATTGTATGTAAATAATTCTCAGACACATGAAAGAGTCAGTGGAGAAACAAAGTCAGGGGCAAAGGCAAAACAAGCAAGTGGTAGATTATATCTGTGGTCCCCAGGGAATGAATGAACCTCCCAGTATTCATATTCTGACACAGCCCCTTCCATGTTGAATTGGCCACATGGCTTGCTTTGGCCAAAGTAATATTAGATTATTGGGTCTTCCAGGTTACCCACCAGCCACTAGCTAAATGCAGCCTTGACTCTAGCTGATTCCATCCATATGGAACAGAATTACTGTTAAGATCTTTCAGAATTCCTAATGAAGATTCATTGCTGTATTAGGCCATGATATTATGAAGTGATTTTTTAAAAAAATATTTTTTAGTTGTAATTGGACACAATACCTTTATTTTATTTATTTTTATGTGGTGAAGATTGAATCCAGGGCCTCGCACATGCTAGGCGAGTACTCTACCGCTGAGCCACAACTCCAGCCCCTGAAGTGATTTTTCATGCAACAATAGAGAGGTGCAACAAAGGGTTTATAAGAGAAAGGGAAGAAACAAAACTGCATTCTAGGAATAGTAAATTTGTGTATTTTGGGGGTAACATGACTTCCTGGAAGCTATTGAAGAGGTTAGTCTGGGAATTCTGTCTTGAGTAGGCTCTCTAGGGTTCTCTTAGAAAGCATTTTAGTTTTTTACCAATTCTCAAGAAAAATTTGAGAGTTTACCTATGGGTATACTTGTGTACTATCTGCCAGTATCCTTCTGTTAGTACCCTTGGCCTTATTATTTCAAGTTTGTACCATTTCCCTGATCAGAATTTTGTAGATTACTCAGAGATAAGGAAAAGACCAACCCTGAGTAGGCAAGAAAGACATGAATACTCCCTCATTGCTATCTTTTCACCCTTGCTTAAATAAAAACAGCAGCAGCAACATAGATATTCTGTCTACCTCTTTAGTCAACAGTCAGGGCTATCTAAATATGGAATGCTCCAAGGAATTCAGATTCTTGCAGGAAACTGTGAAACACAAGTCCCAAACACAGTATTGCCCTGAGCAAGGAGTGATGGGGCACTGGAGTCAAGGCTCTGGAAAGGAGAACTGCTTAATGGGACTAAGTGGTCTATAGAATTTGGGATCTCCCTACAGTATGCTGGGAGTACAAACATTGGAAGGATAAAGGAGAGGTCAGATGGTGATCAAGAAATACAGGCAGAAATAGAGGAAAATGGAACTGGGAATTAAAATACCCACAGAACAGAATCATTCGAAGTGAAAAAGAATTAAACTTTATTTATCTGGAAGATGGGATGAATCCGTCGCTGGTTATCGGAACCTGAGGTTGCGCTTGCTCTTTAGGAAGGTGGGTTGGAATGGGATGAGCTGTGTTTGGCAAGGGCTGTGGTGGTCTAGAATCTGGGGAGATCAGCAGAATTAGTTTTCTAAGACTGGCACCCCTTACATCAACCAGTACCACCTATGTGTCTTCTATATCCTCCATTTTTTTTTTTTTTGGTGGTGCTGGGGATTGAATCCAGGGCCTTGTGCTTGTGAGGCAAGTACTCTACCAACTAAGCTATATCCCTAGCCCCATAGCCCCTATTTTTGTCTACCCCTCTCACCTGCCTGGTTCCCCAGCTGAGCCTCAGGCCGGTCTCCCCAGAGCAGATGCTTGGGGTCATTGAGGAACCTCTGGCTGCGCTGGCACGTCAGGCAGGTCTGTATTGTCCAGCGTTGTCCCCTGCGGCCTGGCGTAAAGGTGGGAAAAAGGAAAAGTGCCCAGGTTCCTAAGAAAGGTCCTTTTGCCTCCAAGTTTTTCCAGTAGGAATCCTATTCCCCACTCCCACTTTGAATGTAAATTTCATGGCATCTGGCTCCAGCACCAATTCCATCAATTTCTTGGAATTTTAAGACAAAAACTAAATTCCTTAACAGGATAAAGATATGGATTGTTTCCCTCAACTCTTGCTCCTGAGCAACTCAAATTCCAGCCTCCCCAACTCTGATTTCCTTGACAGTACCACAAATTCTCATGTCTGGAAATTCTCATCCATGCTTAGAATTTCTCTGTCTAGCTACCTTTATTTATCATGTACCTCATCACCACTGGCATAAATAATTCAGCATTCTACTTTACCCTCCTCTCAATTAAAGCATTTTTCTCCCCTACATTCTTTTGTTTCTATTTTAGCCTCTCTCTCCAGGGTGTAATTTGAATATAGTACTCGACATATTTTAGCAAATAAGGTCTTTTTTTTTTTTTTTTGGAGGGGGGGAGTACCAGGGGTTGAATTCAGGGGCACTCAACCACTGAGTCACATCTCCAGCTCTTTTTGTATTTTATTTAGAGACAGGGTATCATTGAGTTGCTTAGGGCTTCTAAGTTGCTGAGACGACTTTGAATTTGCGATCCTCCTGGCTCAGCCTTCCCCAGCAGCGGGGATTACAGGCCTGCGCCACTGCGACTGGCAGAAAAGAAATATTTCTTGAGTAAACGAATGAAAGGTGCTACCACACAGTATCTGTTATTGTGTCTCGGTGAGATTGCCTCTTAAGGCATAATTTTTCTTCTACCCAAATAGGAATAAAAGCCAAGCCCAGACTTTAGTTTGTCCCAGGGATATTAGAAATTTAATTTATACGGGGCGCAGTGGTGCACAGCTGTAATCCCAGCGGCTCCGGAGGCGGAGGCAGAGGCTGCAGGATAGTGAGTTCAAAGCCAGCCTCAGCAATTTAGAGAGGCGCTAAGCAACTCAGTGAGACCTTGTCTCTAAATAAAATACAGAAATAGGGCTGGGGATGTGACTCAGTGACCGAGTGTCCCCGAGGTCAATCCTCGGTACAAAAAGCAAACAAAGAAAAAAACCTTTAATTCAGACCTAGAGAAAGCTGGCTCCAGCATATCCAAAGCCCTACCAATCTAAGGTGAGGATGGAGCGGTTTGGCCCCGCCCTCCCCTCTTCCCGTGCTCCGCAACCACCCCATTTTGCCAGGAGCACTCACGTCTCTGGCGCTGGGTGCTGGTGAGGCCAGGGATGAGGAGGGAGGAGCAGCCGCGACATAGGGTCCTTTTCACCGAGGGGTCCCTGGGGGCGGAGGGGAAAGGTCGTCTGAATGCCCGCGCTCCCTCGCCTTTCCTCCTCGGTCCCGCCCACCGCCCAGACCCGCGCTGTCTCACTGTCGCAGGACTAGTCGCTTCGCAATGGTCTTTTCCGTGTGGCAGTAAAACCTCGCCAGCGCCTGGTTCTCGGGGTCCTGCGCAAGGACACAGTGGGCGGCCTGGGGGGAAGGCAGCGGTCACTCCAGGGCCCGGCGCACCAGAATCCCTTCCCCACGCGGCACTTGCTCACTCACCTGGTACAAGAAGCTGAGTCTTTGGAAGGCCTCGCGGTCCTTCACTGGTCCCGCCATCCGGGAGCCCCAGCAACAAGCGCACCCTCTCGCAGGCCCCGCCCCTTGCGCCCGCGCAAGGCCTTCTGGGAGGTGTAGTGCCCAGGCCCGCAGCCTTAGGTTTGGGAACCTGTTCTCTGCCAATCCAGCACAGGATCCCTTTATGACTTTTGAGTTCCTTTCACTCTTCCTTAAAACTATGATCATGTACTTAGTAGAGATTGGAGCAGCAAATGGGCAGGAGAGGATCTTTTTATCATTTTAGTTGTAGATGGACACAATACCTTTATTTTTATGTGGTGCTGATGATAGAACCCAGGGCCTCACACGGGCTATGCAAGTGCTCGACCACTGAGCTACAACCCTAGCCCAGGAGAGGTTCTTAAAAGTGGGAAATATTTTCAGGAGATAAGTGTGGTTTCCTCATGCAGACAGATTGGGGAAATGGTTTTGTGCAACTTATACCTTCTGCTCTACTAAGTCAAAGGCAGTTTCCTGGAAAATCTACAGACTGAAGGAATAGAGGCTTACATTAAAAACAACAAAAAATTGGTGTCCTTTGAGGTCAAAGTGGAAAGGGTCATGAGGGTGGCAAGATAAGGAAGGAGGGCTCCTGGCCCTCAGCACAGCCTGGTTCCACTTTTACACTTACCAATGAAACACTTGTTACAGTGCTGGACATGTAGCAGGTGATCCCTACTTGCTCAGTGAATAGTTTTAAATTCCTTGTTGTATGTACAGCAAACTGCCAACAGTATCCTCTGCCCAGACTGCAGCCTACTTACTCCACAGAGACATCAACTTCACACTCCTCTGACCTCTTTCTGCCTCCCATTTGTTGTCTGGCATCCTGTGTTTATAACTGATACCCAGTTAATGACAACCAGTTTCTGAGGTCAAAAGCAGAGGAATTAAAACTGGAGATACAAAACATGATTGAACACTAAGATATAGAGGGCAGTATAAGTCAGGAGAGGGTAATATCCTGCTCCCATCTCAGAAGAAGGAAATTAGCTAAAACCTCCTCTAGGTGAAGTTTAGCAAGGGTCCTCAGATTCGAATGAGGAATGTATTTAAAATGTTGAGATCCCCAGGTCCAACCAGACATTGATCAAACATTGCAGGCAAGACCCAGGAACGTGCATTGTTCACACCCAGTGATTTTACCATAAACATAAGGCCATGCCCAAATTAGCACTCGACACAGAGATCACTTCAGTGGATCCTTTGTTCCATATTATTTTTACCAACCAAAGTATCTTGCCACAAAGAACCACAGTCAAGGCACAAAGGTAAGAGGAGGAAAGTGGACAGAGTCCTGTTGAGGTGGTAAGAGGAACTGAAATGCCCTCAGTAAACTGCAGCTTCTTGTGTCAGTCTTCTGTGAAGATTACCCAAGCAGCAGATATCCAAGATGTTTTAGTTTGGTTTGGCATGCATCTCTTTACCTTTTTTTTTTGACAACATATATACCCTATAGGTTGTTTATTTTGGCCTAACATTAAAATGATTTACATTCAAAAAGGGGAATGGCAAAGGGTGAAGGATGGCAACAAACAAGCAAAAGGCTGTTATGAACACTAGTTCCAGGCCAATGCACAGGCAAAAGGAAGCTGCCTATCCAGCCCTTTCCTAAATGTACCCTGTCTTTAGGGTGAGAAAGACTCCCTTATCTTTCTTCCTTTCTGGCTTGGACACCTGAGCCAGGTGACAAGGCTAACGACTTGGGAATAGTTATTCAGTAACATTCTTTAAGGCCAGGGCTTTGGATAGATATACTTTTCTCTAATACCCGACTCTCTGCTCTCCAAGTTCTTTTGGGAAAAGTGTAAGTATAGCTGTGTCTTGCACAATCTCTTCCCCTTGCCTCTGAAGAGGAACAGGCCGTGCAACTTCTTGGAGACCACCGACTGTGAGGAGGCAGGCAAATAGCCAGCAGAAGGCCAAGGTAGGGACACAGGTTCTCCTTTATTCCCATCCTTTCCTTTTCTCCACATTCCTACCTCTGGCCAATCCTACTCACAATGGCAACCTTACCCTGGGAATAGAACACCGAAGAAACTTCCCTCTCCTTCATTGGTTTCTAGGAATCTGTTGCTTTAGTCCTCTTACCTGATCTTCTTTGTAATCTACTTTGATGTCCAAACTCTGCCTTCAGAAAAATTCAACTTCTAGACCCATGACAGCAATGGTCATTAATCTTTTTTCAATCTAGAGGTACACCGACCCCTGTGATTTTCCTCAAAAAACAAGTCTATTCTGGGTCAAAGAAGTCCCTAAGGGTTTCTGTTTTCTCCTCCTACTTAAGCAAGTTAGACTCTCCCATAGACTTTTCATTTCTGGAAGTCTCTCCTTCCTTCCCAACCTTTCCTTGTGCAATAGAAAACCTGATGGATGTCAGGGAGACATTCTCCTGGCAACCAGCTCCCCACGGTGAGGAGGGAGACATACCCGTGCTCCATCATGCAGCCCAGTCCTACCTACTCCTCCACACAAACCATCCTGGAGGCCAGAATGTTTCTCCAAGATGACTCAGGACTGGAACCAGGCAGACACCAAGATGTTCCAGCAGGACACAAGAAGAAAGGCCCATAGCTTTTGACCCTGCCTCACCCCAGTTAATCCCACATCTCAACCTGTCACTCCCAATCTGTTGGGGGCCTGATAGTAAGTGGTGCAGCATTCTTCCGACCAGCCCGGATGCCTGGGTAGAAGAGGGGCCAGAGTTTCTCAGTAAAAGTATCAGTAAAGGTGTAGATATGAGAGCGGTCTGTGACGTTGTAAAATGATAGCGTGCCAGCCTCGTAGTCTAGGAATATGCCTACCCGCTTGGGTTTTACCTTGATGTGCAAAGGGGTAAAAGGTGTGGTGGTGGCTGCATACTTGTCCCCATTCCACAGCCGCACACGCCAGTAGCCAGTCTCAGGGAGTGGAGTCAGCTCGCCCTTTCGGCTCACAGAGTCCCGGCACACACCCACTGCCCAGTGGGTCTTGTCCCCCACCTCCACCTCCCAGTAGTGTCGACCTGAGGTGAAACCTTCAGTAGCCAGGACGCAAGGGTAGAAGGTGAAACGCTGTGGCGTGTCAGGGAGATCTCGGAGTCTTGTCTCCACAAACTTGACGCTTTTACGATCTTCTGACAGGACTAGGTTAGGATGAGCAGTCTCAGGGTCCAGGGTCACATCCGCTGGCGGGAGAAGCCAGAGTGGGGAGCTAGATGAGGATGGGAATAGCTAAACACCCCTGCCTCACTTTTTCAGCCTGCCTGTATATACAGAGCCTGGTCCCTTAAAGGTCCTCAGAACACCATGAGTTGGTTAACGTTCTCAATCCATAGTGTCACCAAAGGAAAAGGAGGCAACAAAGGCTTCACTTCTCACCCTGATCCTAAAATAAACAGATAATGATTTCTTGACTCTGAAAGAAAAGTCTCTGTGGGGATAGGTTCCTGTCCTTGTCTTTTCCTCATCTGATTTCTTCATTTATCTCACTATATGGAAAAGTGCAAGGTGTGGTATGAGGGCCAGAATGGAAAGTGGAAGAAGAATCCAGAGCAAGTCAGCAGTATGGTCTAGGGACAAGGTTAGCATGTATCTGTTTTCTTGGAATGGTTCTGCTTTATGACTATTTTTCCTGCATAAATATTATGATATTCCTGTTCATGCTCAGCATTGCCCAGCTGAGACAGTAAATTCTATGGCCACTTCATCTGATGTCTTGGGTAAATTATTTAACCTTTCTGGGTCCCTATTTATAAAAATGTAGATTTAGAAGTAGACGACATCTATGGCTTCCTTTCACTCAGAGTTCTATGACTCAGGGTGAGACCAAAAGCCAACTAAAGGGGTGGAGGTAGGAGTGGGCACGAAATAATTGAAGCCCATATAAGGTAGGATTTAAAGACTTTTCTCTTGGGCTGGGGATGTGGCTCAAGTGGTAGCGCGCTCGCCTGGCATGCGTGCGGCCCGGGTTCAATTCTCAGCACCACATACAAACAAAGATGTTGTGTCCGCTGAAAACTAAAAAAATAAATATTAAAAAATTCTCTCTCTTTAAAAAAAAAAAAAAAAAGATTGGGAACAACTCACCAATTAGCTGTTTAAGGATTTTCCTTAGGGCAAAGTATTGTCGGGGGAAATTGCTGAAGTTCTTTTCCAGCTCTATGGATACTGAAGTCACCTCCATGGTCTTCACCTTCTCACATCTAGGACAGATAGAAAGATAGGGGGAGAAAGGGCAGGGTCAGGGGATACCAGTCAAGTGAATATTCAGATGTTGTAATCTTTAGGGAGAAACTAAAATTCTCCATCTTCCCACTTTCTATCTTCTCCCTGAAGACAATTGCTTTCTTGTGTTATCGGTGGAGAGCCATCTGCTCTCCTACACTGGTACTTATCTTGAGAATAAACCTCCAAACTTACTTTTTTTTTTTTTTCTCTCTCTCTCTCTCTGTACTTGGGATCCAACCCAGGGCCTTATGCACTCTACCACTATTTAACATCCCCAGCCCTTTTTGTATTTTATTTTGAGACTAAAGTTACTCAGGTTGGCCTTGAATTTACAATCCTCCTGCTTCAAGTAGCTGGGATTAATAAGCATGCCTCATGGTGCCCAGCATGGGGTATTCTTATACTTCATGCAAATGATAATCATCCTTCTTGCTTTCTCATCCCCTTTCTCCTGCCCTCTTGTTTCGACACAATTCCATCCACAGGTACAAGCAGAATATGGTTCTACATTATCATTGTCCTTACCAACCAAGTCCTGATGTTTAAAGGGGAAAAAGTAAGGAATTATTACTTTTAATGATTTGTTCTCTACCTGGCTTCATGGCTGCAATGAACCTCTCCCATGTCCTATCCAGATACTGCATGATTTTTCCCATCCTTACTACCCCAAATCATTATAATACCTTTAGTCTCTAAGCCAAGACCTAACTTACTCAGAAAGATATAAGAATCACTTACTTTTCCAGGGTACTTTTGACATCCTAGAGGGAATGAGAAAAGAAAGCAAGATTGGTCCTGGCATTCAAGCGTCCTGAAGGCAAAAAGTCCCCCCCCCCATCCCAAAAGTTCTAGATCTATAGAATAGGCACAGTGCAAACTGATAGTTATAATGCAAGGGTTAGAGTTCTTGGTAATTTATATCACTTCCAAATGGTTTCCTGTATGTTTGTCTTTGCTCCTCAAGGACACTGGGAGCTCCCTGCAAGGTATACATATTGTGTCTCTCTTTACTCTGTTCCCCAAGTACCAATCACATACCTCAGTCTCCTCGAGAATCAGTACAGATAGTTCCAGATTGGTGGCATAGAACAAATCACACTTTCCCATTGTGGTTTGGTATTCTCTATCTGGCACGAGTTAATAAACAATAAGTGTGTGCCAACCCTGATTTGAGAATACTTGGGGTCCAGAAGACAAAGAAGACAAATTTCTGCCCTACAAGGATTTCCCAGTTTAATGCAGAACATACATACATGAAAGGACGGCAATCAATACCAAGCAATACATAACATGCAGATAAACAACATACAATGAAGCTTCACTGATTCAAATGCTGGTATTCTGGTCTCTAAGAAATATGTACCCTAAAGCCTTACTAACATTATGCATCTTTTGAAGAGAACAAAACTATTTCAAACATTTTAGAGGCATCATTAACATATCAAAAGCAATGTTATTATTTATACATAATTTCAAGTATCCTTTAAACTAACTTTCAATTCTTTTTAGCACTAGGTAAATCAAGTATTAGGATGAAAAAAGTAATGGAAACTATATTTACAAAATTTTTAATGCATAGTTTTTTACTACGTAGACTAGACTTCTCTCAAGGGTGATTTTTTTTCTCTGGGACAAATTAAACACAATGGCTGAGGATATAGCTCAGTTGGTAGAGTGCTTGCCTCTCACGCACAAGGCCCTGGGTTTAATGCCCAGCACCACAAAATCAAAAACAAAACAAAACAAAACAAAAAAACACCCCCAAAAAACCAAATAAAAACAAAAACAAAAAACCCAAAAACAAATTAAGCACATAATTGTTGATGAGACATAATGACACAAAAATGATTAGAAGGGGATGAGAAAAATCAGAGAAGCTTGCTGTAGAAAAAGATCCTCTGTGTAAGTCTGGAAGAAAGAATTGGACTTGGGGAAGTAGAGCAAGGGAGTGAGCACCCTTGGCTGACAGACTGGCCTGTGCAAAGCTATACTGTGTTCCACTTGGGGGGCTATGCAGGGGCAAAGGTCGAACCTTAAGCATCTCGAAGCCTGACTGTAAGCACTTGCCCTCCACCTCGGCAGCCAAATGGGCCAGGTCCCGGCGCATGTCCCCAAGGTGAGCAGCATTTTCTCGCAGTCTTTGTAGAATGTCCTGTTCCTCCTCCTCTAGTCTTGAAAGCAATACCTGCTGTTCTTCATCCAGCCGCCTATGAAGCTCTTCAAACTCCTTTAAGATCTGCTGTCGACGACTCTCCACTAGTCTCTGAGGAAAGAGGATATTGTATCAGCAGGATCAGTGGGCTTGGGGGTAGCTTCTCCATGACCCACCAGGTACATGAATTAACAAAGAGTTCCAGTGTCATTGGAAATAAGTTAACAGGACATATTTTCTCTCTACTGAAATCTATAAAGAATGGTGCCATCACCCACTGATGACTTGACAGTGGAGACCCCTGGGAAACTGATTTTATTATTTTTTGCAGAACTGAGATTGAGCCCAGGGCACTTTGCTACTGAGCTACATCCCAGCCTTTTAATTTTTAGACAAGTCTTGCTAGTTGTCTAGGCTGGCCTTGAATTTGCCAATCCTCTTGCCTCAGCCTCCTTAGTCACTGGGATTACAGGCATGCCATTACCATACCCAGCCTATTGAGAGATTACTAACCCTCCTTCCCATTATCTAAGAAAATTAAGTTTGTCAGTAAATAAACTTCTCAAAAGTTAATTTTCATATTTTAATAAAATATATTGAAGATATAAGAAATCAATAACATAACATCTACTATTTATGAATACTAGAGATATTTCTGCTATTCCCAACTCTGAAGTTTATATAATCTGTTAACAAAGAGAAAGTAAAAATACTAGAAAATTAAGATAAGACTGTCATCATTTGTATATGGTAAGATATCTACTTGATAAAAAACAGAGAACTGGAAAACTATCACAAACTGTAAGAGTTTAGTGGGTTGTTACAAAGCATATATGCAGATTTTAGAACTGAACCTGTTAAATAGTTTCAAGTTATTTCTGAGAATTGGTAGTTTTCATCCCAGAAACAGGTTATGGATGTTTTTTAGTAAATCAGTTGCTTGAAATTTGGAATATGCCTTCTGTATGCCACCACATACATTTAAACCTCTAACATTCTTAGATTTGATAATGTAAGACTCCAACATCAGCCTTATCACTAAGGACTTCAGTGCATCCTCTCTCTTGTTCCTCCCTGAAATAAGTTTAGAATTCCTAACAGTGGTAAATAGGAAGAAAGAAAAGATCCCCCCCCCCCTTTAAAAATTTTTTTTGTAGTTATAGATTGACAGAATGCCTTTATTTTATTTGTTTATTTATATGTGGTGCTGAGTATTGAACCCAGTACATGCTAGGCTAACACTCATACATGCTCATACATGCTAGGCTAACACTCTACCACTGAGCCTCAGCCCCAGTCCCAGATTTCCCCTCTTTAAAACCCACCATCCCTTCTCTTTTCTCACTCTGTATTTGTAGGACAGTGGTTCTTAACAAGGGTGCCATGTCCCTCTAAGGACATTATTCCTCCAATGTGTGAGAGATAATCCTACATGGTAAACTGTCTTGCATCATTTTTCTTTTTGGTACTGGGGATTGAACCCAAGGCCACTTAATCACTGAGCCACATCCCCAACCCTTATTATTCTGAGATAGGGTCTTGCTAAGTTGCTAAGGGCCTCACTAAGTTGCTGAGGCTGGCCTTGAACTTGCAATCCTCCTGATTTAGCCTTCCAAATCACTGGGATTATAGGTGTGTGCCACCACACCCAGCTTCCTTCATCATTTTCTATGTTCTGCTGGATATTAAACATGTAGGTATGGACTTGAATGTCATTTTATGTAAACACACAGAGGAATTCTTACATGGTTTAAATATACCAGAATTTCCTGGGAATAACTAAACAAACTCATTAGGACTAGATCTTATTTTCTTAGAGCAATAACTAAACAAACTCATTAGGACTAGATCTTATTAGAGCTTTAGCAAAAGTCATTCTTTTGAAAAATCATGTCACCAAGAGCTGTTTGTGGAATTTGAGTCACATTACCACACATCTGCCTCAGTTTGAACAAGTATTTATTGTATTGTTTGTGTCGCATGTAGGTGCAAGCTGACAACTATGCTATAGTGTCTTTCAGAGTTGTCATACCCAAATGTTATACATCATATTTTATTATAAATATGTCTATGGTATATCATATTACAAAATTATGTAGATAGATTATTTCATCTATACTTTTCATTTTAGCATAGTTAATTACAAACTTGTTTTTTGCTGTACTGGGGATTCCTATACTCTCAACCTCTACCAACTATTTTTTTTTTAAATATTTATTTTTTAGTTGTAGTTGTACACTATATCTGTCTGTATTTATTTATTTATTTATGTATGTATGTATGTATGTATGTATGTATGTATGTATGTATTTATTTATATGTGGTGCTGAGGATCGAACCCAGGGCTTTGCACGTGCTAGGTGAGCGCTTTGCCACTGAGCTACAGCCCCAGCCCCTACCAACTATTTTTAAAAGGGGCACTGAATCTGATTCTGGAGGTGGAGATGAGGGAAAGGGAAGAACACGAATTCAAATCATCACAAAAAGAATATTTTCTGTGGTAGTTTAAGTGTTGACGAAGATGTGGGGAAAAAGGCACACTCATACATTGCTGGTGGAACTGCAAATTGGTGCAGCCAATCTGGAAAGCACTATGGAGATTTCTTGGAAAACCTGGAATGGAACCACAATTTGACCCAGCTATCCCATTCCTTGTTCTAAACCCAAAGGACTTAAAAACACATACTACAGGGACCCAGCCATGTCAATGTTTATAGTGGCACAATTCACAATAACTAAATTGTGCAACCAACCCAGATGCCCTTCAGTAGATGAATGGATGGGAAACTTTGATATATCTATATATCTAAATGTATATACACAATGGAATATTACTCAGCATTAAAAGAGAATAAAATTATGGCATTTGCAGATAAATGGATGAAGTTGGAGAATATAATGCTAAGTGAAATAAGCCAGTCCCCCCTAAAAAAGGCCAAATGTTTTCTTTGATATGAGGATGCTGACTCATAATGGTGATTGGTGGGAGGGAGCATGAGAGGAATGGAGGAACTTTAGATAAGGCAAAGGGGAGGGAGGGGAAGGGAGGGGACAAGAAGGTAGGAATAATGGTGGAATGGGCTAGACATCATTACTCTAAGTACATGTATGAAGTCACGAATGGTGTGAAAATACTTTGTGAGTAATCAGTGTCTTAAAAAGAGTTTTATTTTTGTGATAAAAATTTGTTCAAGTTTTTAAAAACCTGAATGTTTGCTTTGGTAAAATATATGAAGCACTAAAATAATAATAATTGCTTTCTGTTGAAATATTATCATTCATTATTAAATAATTAGTGTTTTTACTTTAAAATCCGTGTTTAATTTCTGGTGATCCCTGAATTTCAACTCTTAAATACTTATTACTTCTTCAGGAAACCTTTAACAAGGTCAGATTTCTATGCTGTCTTCCTCCCCTCCCTACCCATGTTCTGGTACTGAGGTTGATTGAGCTCAAGGGTGCTCTACAACTGAGTTACATTCCAGCCCCTTTTATTTTGAGACAGGGTCTTAAGGCCTAGGCTGGCCTTGAACTTGTGATCCTTCTGCCTTAGCCTCTCTAGTAGCTGAGATTATAGGTGTGTGCCACTGTGCCTTACCTATATTATTGTCTTATGAACTTGCAGCTGTGCTTTTTGTGCTATGTCATTATTCATTTTCTCCACCTGACTTTAAGCTCAGGAGGACAGGGACTGTGTTTTTGTTCATCATTATTTTATAATGTCAAATATAGGCCTTGGCCTATACCAAGAGCTAAATAAATACTTACTGATTTACAAAGAACTAGTGTCCCTGGTTTTGCCACTTACTGGATACATGATGTTGGACTAGAAAAAGCCTCTTTTTCTCTAGTGTAAACTGGGGGTAATAATCTTTACCTTACAGAGTATCTAAAATTACCCATGTTAAAAATGGCCTTAGGATCTCCTTCTATTTGTCATCTAACTTTTCTATATCCCAATGTCTCAAGTGTGGCCTGAACTCTTAGACCTCCAACTTGGGAAGAACCCTAAGATTTTTTTTTTTAAAAGTCTTTATTTCTTGGTTGTAGTTGGACATAATACCTTTTATGTATTTTTATGTAGTGCTGAGGATTGAACCCAGGGCCTTGCACGTGCTAGGCAAGCACTTTACCATTGAGCCATAACCCCAGCCCAGAACCCTAAGATTTAGTATGACCTTATACATTTGGAAAGCCATGGACTTCCAATGAATTAATGCACAGAACTAAATATTAGTTACATTTGTTACTACTCATTATTTACCATCCAATAGAAGAAATAACTTAGACATCAAAATGCCATTCTACAAATAAGATAATGCTATGAAAAAGATGCAAAATTGTATAAAATTTAATAAAACTAATTTCTGAAGAGCCATGAAAAGTCCTCATAGGAAGTAGCTTTTATTCTAACTGAAGGATGGACAGGATTCTTCTATAGGTGAAGGATGGGGAGGGGAAGGACATTCTAGGAATAAACCTGCAATTTCTACCTTACTTGAGTTATTAGAATGTGGTCCAGATGTCACCAGGCAGTTTTAGGAGCTGTTAGTCAGCTCCTTTTAACCTTCTCCCTTGTGAATCTTCCAAATTCTTCTCTCCTCAAAGAAAGTCCTATCCCTACATTCTTAGCAATCTCTTTCGCTTAATGAAAAAAAGAAGACAAACAGACAAGAACTCCCTCAACTTACCAGATTAGATATCTTGTTTTATCCTTCATTGCTTACATCCTTCTCCTCAATTCTTAATTCATGACAAGTAATTTAAGTACATTATTTAGTGACAATAAAGTGTAATAAATTATCATCATTTTTGAGAGAACAGCATTTTTCTAATATACTGGAACCAGTGGATTAAACAATGTGTAGTTAATTCCCTCATTTACAAATACTTTGTAAAACAACATGAATGGGATTGCCTGTCTTTACCTTGAGTTCTCCAGGCTTCTTCTCCTCAGAGGACTTGCATCGAGTGATCTCCTGTAGCTTCTGCTCCAGGGGCTCTAGGCACTTCTGCAGTTTTTCCTGAGGGTTAGGGAGGAAGTGGGAGAGATAACATTTGGGGTTGGTTGGTATATCCACTGCTCAAGAGGTTAACCCATTTAAAAAAAAAGTTCTTTTTTTTTTTTTTTTTTTTTGTGTGTGTGCTGGGGATCAAACTCAAGTTCTTGCACATACTAGGTAAGTGCTCTACCACTGGGTCATATCCCCAGCTCCAACACATTTGTTTTAAACCATTTGTTTGCTTTCTATCCATTTTACCATCTCTTGATCCAACTCTTTTTGTAGACAACAATTTGAGACGTCAACTTCTTGGATATCCCTCCTCCTGCTACAGCTTAGCCCTAATTCACCCTGCTTACCCAACTTCCTCCCACTGAATCTGATATAGTTGTCTAGCTCTCATCAATTCTGTGTCCTTCCCTATCCATTTTCTTATGGACAACTATTATTGCCAAATATTGCCTATTATTGCCAAATATTTTTTTTTGGTGGTGCTGGGGATCAAAAGTAGGGCCTTGTGCATATTAAACACACACTCTACCACTGAACTACATCCCCAGCCCCAAGCAATCTCCAGATTCCTGAGAATGAAGGGATAGGAGTTTCTTTGAGGAGAGAAGAATTTGGAAGGTTCACAGGGGAGGAGAGTAAAAGGAGCTAACAACTCCTAAAACTGCCTGGTGACATCAGGACAAATTCTAATAACTCAAGTAAGGTAGAAAATGTAGGTTTGTTCCTGGGATGTCCTTTTCCACCCCATCTTTTGTACCCTGATACCCTTCTTTAAATCTATCCTCCTATTTAAATCTACCCACTTAAAAACAACTTGATTATTATACATATACATATATAGTAACATATTATAAATTACCTTAAATCTCTTGCTTCCAGATTTCATTAATATAATTAAGTATGTGATGAAGACACTAAAATCTTTAGTTTCTATTACTCAAACATTTACCCTGTGTCCCAGCAGTAAGTCAGACAAGGCGCCACGTTACCCATTATCTGGGGAAGATGCAAACAACAGACTAGAGTTCAACTTAGTATCAATCTAAAGTAATGTTACCTATTCCCAATACCGATGGGAAAACAAGAAGTATCCCGAGCAGCGAGGCAGAATGAAGAAACCAGAATACTTTTCAGTTCTTCCCAAATCTGATCTTTGCCACAGGTTTCACTCACTTATGAAAAATATGATATACTCCAAGGACACACATACCAAATATTCATCCATGACTCTTCATGCAGAGGACAACTGATCAGATGTACTATGTACCCCCATTTATGTAGCTACGAGGGGAACTACATAATGAGGACCAGATATAGTCTTGTCCTCAGGAACTTAAGTTCCTCTACCCAAAGAGTATGCCATTCTCTGCTGCTCCTCCCTTCTTTCCCACATTGGTATCAGGTGTCTGGTGGCCCACCTTATATTCCTGTGTAGCATCGTCCAATGGCACGACAGTGTGGGCCCGGTGGGTATGGGAAATTGCACATATCAAACATACGGCCTCCTGGTCCTCATAGCAGAAGAGGCTGAGGGCCTCGTGGTGCTGGGGGCAGAGGCTCTCATCCCGGATCTTCCGCTTGACAGCCTGGAGCTGCTTGGCAATTTCCACCATACTGCCTAGTTGGCGATTAGGCCGAAGACTGCGGTAACGGGATGTCTTCCGACAGACAGGACAAGGGAAGTCCCTCTCTAGGTCCTCCCACCAGCGGGTGATGCAAGCTTTGCAGAAGTTATGCCCACATTCAATGATGACAGGCTCCTTCAGATACTCCAGGCACACAGAGCAGCTTGCCTCAACTTGTAAGTTCTCCAGAGCTGCAGCTGTGGAGGCTGCAGAGGCCCCAGCCTCTAACAGGCTTGTCTCTGCCATTATTTAACTTGGGGATGGGTACGGAGACAGAGAAAGGAAAAATATTAGTTGGAGGATGAATTTTTTTTGCATCTCTGGATTGATATTTATCCCCAGGTTAAACCTTAACTCTAGATTTAACCCCATCTTGGTATTTTCCATCTTCTCTTCCACTAGATACAATCTCTTTTTCTCCATTTCTCAATTTGATGACTCTCAGTCTTTGACCTAAGTTTTATTTTTTCCCCCCTCTTCAGCAAACTGACACACAACTCCCATCTCTCTTCTCTTTTATTTCTGTTTCCTCTTGTTAGAAACACGAGTTTCCTTGAACTCTAGCCCAGCATACTTCTGGTCCAGTCTCACCCTACTTGTGTCTTAGAAACAGTAGTTCCAGATCATTGCATCTTAGTTTGAGATCTTATCCTAACAAACAGAAGAGGAGCATAGGAATGAAAAAGTGCCACATAAGTCGAGATATTAAGATTTCTTAAATTAGGTATATTCTAAAGTTTAGTGTCACATAAGAGTTAAGAGTTCATTGGAGCTTTAGCTTGATTCCCTGTCATTCCTGTTCCAAAGGGTAATAAACTGAATGAGTTAGGCAAAGGTAACAATCTCCTCTTTTAAGGAATGTTTGAAATTATTCTTCCTTTTACCAGGACTAGCCTAGAGGAAGAAGTGTGTCCTCTTCTTGGAATGAAATCTTTCATTTCTACTTGTGTGTATTTGAATATCTGGAACTGCTGAAAAGTGATAAATGTATAGCAACTCTATTAAAGAACACACCACCGAGCCTAGGGCAATAACTTCTTTGAAGAAAGAACTTTGGAGTCTATTCAAAATATTCAGTGGTGACTTCAAAATAGCTACTGATAACTAATTCCTTGGACATACTGTATCTGCAACTAATAGCCTTTGGAGCTTTGGAATTAAAACAAGAAAAGAAACGAGACAATCAAATCTCCTTCAGGTGAAGTCTCAGTGTTGGAAATGCATCCCGATGATTTATAAAACAGAAAACTGGTCCCCTACTCCATCTCTAAAACATCAACACTTTTATACATGGAGTAAGCTGATTTCTCTAGTCCTGTAACCCCTCTGCCCTCCACACCACACCCAAGAGACCCACCAAAGGAAGGAAATTTGGTAGGTTTATGCACAGACAGAGAAGTGACTACGTAATGAGTTGGATTAACAATTATTGTTTCTGTATAATGACGTGGGAAGTGTTTAATTTGGAGTTAGAGCTGGTAAATTATTTGGGCCATAATTTCTTCCCTCAATATCAAGAGAGAAGTTCGGCTGGATGATTTTTCTCCACTCATTAGAATCCAACTTTGACTAGTCTGCTCCTTCCCCGGTCTTCTTGACATTAGGTGGCCTCCTGACCTGGATGACTTGATTGTATGCACATTTAGAGACCAGGATGGATTCAGACTGGCAAAGTGGTGGGAAAGAGAAATAAGGAATGCATTAGGGAAGAATAGACGACTTGGAACTGGGGGAATAGAGTGGAGAGGACAGCGAGAGTTAGGCCCTGGGTGCCTCTGGGTTGGTCTTTCCTATTCCTCATGTCTTAGGAGAAGGACAAACTTCAGGGACGTCCTCATTTTGTTTCTATTACTGTTCAGGTTCCACCTTGTGACCCTCTCATGAGGGTGGTCCACAACTCTGTCCCACCCCCATCTCCGTGGTCTCCGGCCATATCTGGGGCGGAGAAATTGGAGAGGTGAAAGAGGAAACGTCGTGGTTGTCGGGGAGGGAGGGATGCGTGTCCAGGTGAGAAAGAGGTGTGACGTGAAGGTGGGATGCCAGCCGCTCTGACGCAGCCGAGACCCGCGGTGACGGCGTCAGTTTCACCCGGGGAGACGAGCGGCAACGGGACGGGGGAACAGCGGGGTAGCCAAGCAACGCCGGACGCGCTGACGTCGCCGGGGCGGCAAAACGTCCGCCCGGGCCCTAGGCGGGCGGAGGCAGCTGTGGTTACGTGCGGGGGGCCGGTGACGCAGTTGCCGGGCGCTGGGACGCGGCGTGCGGAGCCGGCCGGTGTGGGCAGGCACCCGGCCTAAGCGCGGCAACGGGACAGCACCTACCTTCCCGGCTTCGGGTCCGGGAGTACGGGGCGCGGAGCCGCCGGAGAGCTGCCTCCCTCCTTCCTCCTCCCCTCGCCCCCGCCCCGCGGCGCGACACACAATACTCGCCGGAAGCGGAAGCGGCGCTGCGCGGAGACTCGTGTCAGTGGAAGCCGGGGTATCGGCGGGTTAACGCGCGAGGGCCTAGCGGTGCCTGCGGAAGAGGAAGGAGCGGGGCCGGAGTTGAGGACCAGCAGGAGTCGTCAAGGGTGAGAAGGTACGCGGAGCTGCAGGTAGCTGAAATGCCGGCGTCCAGATGACCTGAGGACTCCTCCGGAGATAGAGGACCGCGCATGCGCGCGATGGAAAGCTGAAGCCCATTGCTCGCTGGGCGTCTTACCGCCCAGGTTGGCGGAGCTGTTCTGTCCAGGTTGCGGGCCTGGACTCTGGCCAGGCGATGCTGATCCTGGTGAGGCTGGAAGTCGTCGAGGCCCAGATTGTGGGCTTTCGGCCACACTTTTCCTCTCTTCGGGTCAGTCTGGGGAAAGGATGGTTATTTTAGGCGGTGGCCAATTGCGTGGCGGACCTGCGGTCTCAGCTGGCACGTCACTTCCGACTAGTTCAGATTTAGCCTTTTAATGTTTAAGGAGCAGGTAGGCTCTTCCCATGGCAGGCTTCAGATGCCCCCTTGTTGCCCCTTCTTGGCGAGCTTTATCGAAACTGACTGCCTCTTCTGGGATGGAAGCTACTAGAGCGGATATCGCGACTCTGCTGCTCATCTTTATATCCTTACCTTCTCGCACGGTGTCCAACCGCCCCAGGCGCTCAGTAAAACTTAACCGGATGAGCGCCAAGGCCCATTCTTTCCAATTTTAGGGCTGACTTAAGTTCTTCCATAATAGCAGACGATACTTGCGAGGGAGACACAAGACTTTTGCATTATGGTTTCTCTACTTTGCTCTCCCGCGGCTGGGTCTTCGAAGATCTGAGTTTGGAAGAAGTGAGGCAAGGGGAAGTCTGCTGGTTGAGGTAGGTGGAGTTGGGGAGGAGTTAATGCTGGGAGGGGTGTGACAATGCTGGTAGCAAAGGTAGTTTGCCTCTTCTGCCTTCCATAGTAGCAAGCAGAATGTTTGAAAGAGATAAGCAAATGTTAATGTTTAGGGAAAAAGTGGTTCTATTTGTTCCTGTGTAAGTTTTGTGATTCTGCTTTCAAACACCGTGTTGTATTTAACCTCCTGTCAGAAACTATTATTGCAGAAAACAACATCACATTTCCAAGGTGTAAAGATTTTAGCATCACACATGCTAATTACAATAGGCCTATTTTTTTCTGACCTTCCTTTTCTTCTTCTTGCTCTCCCTTGGCTTCTGTCTCTGGTAGCTAACAACTTGAAGATTAAACTCGAGAAAAATACATTTATTAACTTTTTTCTGCGTTGCTAGTTTGGCTACTAGGGATTATAACAGCAGTACATAAACTCCTGAATTCATAGGTAAGGTAGTTTGAAAGACATTAATTGGGCAGTCAGTCTTGACTTAGGTTTGACTTGGAGGGATTGTGAGGCAGCTGAGATTTGAGTTCTGGTTTTGATATGTTAATTTGTAACATTTAAATTTGTAAGCCCTTCTTTCTGGCTTCCTGTTCATAGGGGACCAGGAATGCGTTTAAGGAAATTACCAGAGGTTGTGCATTCCTAAAGACTATTAAGAATGGGCTTGTCTGGAGACAGATTATTAAGGGAATTTTATACTGAATATGGAAGGAAAAGGGGGAGAATGTTTTGGTAAAATTAAAAAAAATTATGAAGATTATGTAGTATGATATAGAACAGAGGTTGGCAAATTTTTCCTATAAAGAGAATGTGTTTTTGTCCTTTCATCCCATACTCAACTGTCTTTATAATGTAAAAACATCATTAGATAATATGAATAAAATATAATATGATGAAATGAATGAGCTTGGCTGTGTTTCAATAAAACTTTGTGGATGCTGAAATTTGAATTTCATATAATTTTTATGTGTCACAAGACATTTTCTTTTTCACTCCTTAAAAATATAAAAATGATTTTTAGCTTCCAGGACATACAAAGGCAGATAGTGGACCATAGTGATCCACTGAATAATAGTGAAGTATTCCATATTTTTCAAGAGAGAATAATTGGGAAAGAGGGTAAACATGGTGCTGTGATCTGTTATTTCCATCTGTCTCTTTATTTACATACAAAATAATAAAAGAATTTTGAGATTCTAACACAAATTTGTTTTGTCCTTTGGAACTTGATCACCTGGATTTGTAACTGTACCAAGATACAAGTATATTTTTAAATAAAGAAGGGTATTCCTTTAAAATTAAAAAGGGATTTTAGTTCAGGAAAACTGGAATAACACACTGAGTCTTAATGCTGATTTATACCAAGAGATTTCTAACACAGGAATAGACAAAAATGAACTATACTAATGAGATGAAAGGTAACTTTTAAAAATTAAATATATGGTGTAAATATTGTTTTTATATCAGGAAAGGAAAACAGAAGAGATGAAGCCTTTGGATTTTTTATAGAAAGATACATGAGCTGTGAGGGTAAATAACTGGCTAAGGTGGAAAAGGTGAGATGGAGGTGGGTAGGGCTTAACTATCCAGACTTTGAGATTCTTATTCAGGAAAAGGCAAAGCATCTCATGTCCCCCTACCATTTTGTTCTGTTATGCTCGAATTCGGGACCCCCAAAAGACCACCAGAGACCAAGATTGATGTAAGCAGCAAAGAGGTGTTTATTGCGAACTAGCTCCGTCCTCCGCGCGCACACAGCAACTGGTAACGCTGAGAGGCCCCAGCCCAGGGTTTGCAGCAGTTTTATACACTCTTTGGGGGAAAGCAGGGACTTCACATACATCATAGCATCTCTTAGGAAATTATCACACTGCGGGAAAATCATAAAATAACTCTAAAAACATGATTAGTACATTCACTGGCAGGAACAAGTTGGGTAAGGGTGATTGGTTACTACAAGAGGGGGATTCCTTTGAACTGATTGGTTTAAGCCACGAGGGGAGTACTGCTGAACTACATGGTTTCCCAACATGTTATCAACCACCATAATCTACTGGGAGGGTCATCTGGCATCCCAGGTATTTTCCCTGTTTCATGCTGATTGGTGGCTGCTAGGAGGTTGCTATGGGTCCCCACCTAGCCTGACTGAGTCAGGGATACCTGCCACAGGCAGATCTCTCCTGTTATTTGTAGATAACAACTCAGCAGGGTGGGTATGTGCCTAGGAGTGCTCTGTGGGTCTTTCCAAGGACAAGGGTCATGCCCCCCTTCCTTGGACAGGCTTTGCTCTGAGGCAGAGGCTGGTTTTTCAGTGCTTTTATTATGAAATATTACAAATGTACAGAAAAGCCATCTTCAGTTTGATTTTTATACTTACTTCAAACTTGCTATCTTTTTAGGTCAGTGACATAGAACCACATCATTGTTTTTCAAGTCTTTATTGTCATGCCATTATATTAGCAGGATAAATTTTTGGAAGTTGGACTGCTGGTTCAGGAGATGTGGAATCTTAAAATTCTAGTACATCCTTTCAGTTTCGTTTCCCATCTAGCACATCATTCAGTTTTGTGTATGCATCTGTTTATACATAAACTAGTATATTATGAGACAGATTAATCCCCTCTTGTCTGTGGTTTCACTTTCTGTTTTTCATTTATCTGTGGGCAAATGTGGTCTGAAATTATTACATGGAAAATTCTAGAAATAATGTTTCAAATTGTGTATCATTCTGAATAGTTGATGAAATTTCATGTTGTCTTGTTCCCAGGGCATGTGAATTATCCATATGACATGTATACCGCATGGACTACCCACCCCATTAGTCACTTACTAGTCACCTCAGTTATTGGATTAACAGAGGAGTGTGACATTGTAAAAGTTATATGTAAGTAATCCTTGCTTTACTTAATAATGGCCACAAAATGCTTCATTTAAATGAAAATGTGGAAGTTCTCAACTTACTAAGAAACAAAAGGAGCAAGATCCAATGCTTAGGTTGCTAACATTCATAGTAAGATGGAATCCTCTGAAATTTTTTTTTATAAATTTTTTTTTGTTGTTGTTGGAGATGGACACAATACCTTTGCTTTATTTATTTATTTTTACGTGGTGTTGAGGATTGAACCCGGTGCTTCACAGTTGCCAGGCAAGCGCTTTACCACTGAGCCATAACCCCAGCCCCTCCTGAACTTTTTTTTTAATATTTATTTTTTAGTTTTAAGTGGACACAATATCTTTATTTTACATTTATGTGGTGTTGAGGATTGAACCCAGTGCTTCACAGTTGCCAGGCAAGAGCTTTACCACGGAGCCATAACCCCAGCTCCTCCTGAACTTTTGAAGAAGCAAAATTCCTGCTAGTTTTACTTTTGCATCTCAATCTTCAAAATTTCAGCCACAGCGTGTGTTAAGTGCTTAATTAAGGTGGAAAAGGCATTAGATTTGTGATGGAAGACATGAATGGGAAACGTGATTAAAGGCAATGTGTTCAGCCAGAGCACTGATCTTATATGAACACTTGAGCAAGGGGATCTCCTGAAAGGAGTGATATCATGGGGTTTTATCCACTGGGGGTCTTGGAGCATATGGAACATATCCCGTCCCCTAATAAGGAGAGGGCAACTGTCATCTGTTTACCTGCAGGGGAGCTAGTGATGATATTTTCATATTAAAATGTATTCATTTATTATTTTTTCACACTTTTATTGGTAGATAGGAATTTACTTAGTTTCCTATTGACTGTTACTTCATTTTCATTTCTGCTTTAGTTTTTTTTTTTCTATTTTCTTTTTGTTGCTACAGCAGTGTTACAATAAAGATTCCCCTGAACATATGTCCTTAATGTGTGTTGGATTTATTTCTGTGAGAAAGATTCTTGTTGGAGTGTATTACATATTTCTAGTTGTAATACATGTTGCCATATTGCTTTTTCAGAAGGCTGTTCACTTTTACATTTCCTGACAGTAGTGTATGAGCCTGGCCCCTTCCCACCTCCCCAGCCGAGATAGGTATTATCTGTATTTTGTTGTTGTTGTTTGTTTGCTTGATATTGATGTCTGTTTTTATTTTTTCTACAGCTAGTAAAGAGAAGTCTTAGTTGCTTGAATTGCATTTTCTCTTTAGTAATTAAAAATTTTATTTTTTAGTTGTAGATGGGCACAAAACTTTTATTTTTATTTATGTGGTGCTGAGGATCGAACCCAGTGCCCCACGCATGCCAGGCAAGAGCTCTATCACTGTGAGGATGGCCTTAGGCCTGAGCCTAAGCAACTCCATTCTAAAATTTATTTTTAAAAACTCCAGTTTGAAACCTCTAGTCTTACTAGGCATGCCTAATGGAGTCCTCCAGTGTGGCCTTCAGGCACAAACAAGTCACTTCTCAGCCTGATAAACTCAATAGTGAAGCCTCGGTAGGCTGTCTAAGAGAGAAATGTGAAAAGATCAGGGTGGGGATGACAAGACCAGATGTTTTAACCCCAGGATAAATGATATCACTGAGAAATCCCATGGCATCTGATAAAGGATTGAAAGGGGGGGTCAAATGCCCCCAAATTTGGTATAAATAATAGAGCAAATGAACAGACATTCAGCCAGCTGATAATGATGCCCTCATGCTTAGAGCCTGACTAGGACGTGGACTGACATCCCAACACTTTTCATCATTTGCTGATCCTCTGCATTTTCCTCACCGCTCTCAAACTCTACAGCCACATCTTGACCCTGGTGAGAGCTGCAACTTCTTCCTACTCTCTCTTCTCTGGAGGCTGTCAGCTCCACCCCAGAAGAAGCCTACCTAAATTCCTGATCTGATCACCATCGTCTAAGTGAGTGTGTGTCTTCTGGGCTTAAAGCCTAAGGCTTAAGACTTTTGATCTGACACTTGAACTTAGCATGCAGAGGGAAAGTCTGTCATTAGCCTGTCATGATTGTGTTTGCAGTGCTTAAAATTAATTAATCTAGAATTGTTTGCTGTGAATTAATTAATCTAGAATTGTTTGTTATGAATTGATTATGTCTGTTGCAGTGCCTAGCATTAAGGATTGTCGTTTTCTTGATTAAGAACCTATAGAGTGAAATTGTATTGAGTGATTTTGAGTGAAGAAAGCATTGAAAAGGGCAGAAGCGCAGGAACATTCTGTATTTTCCCCCCTGGACTGCATAAGTTGCACCTTTTGCCCATTGAGACAGCCACTGAGCCAGAACCCCAGCCCCTTTTTAGTAATTTTTGATTTTGTCACTTACACTTGTTTTTCTCTGCATTTCCAGTTTTGTCCTTTCTTGGAGGAGAGTTGGTTTGGGTTGTTGTTTTTCTTATCACTTCTACATACATGTGTGTCCCCATTAAGAAATGTATTTCTTGGGGCTGGGGTTGTGGCTCAGTGGTAGAGCACTTGCCTAGCATACATGATGCACTTGGTTCAATCCTTGGCACCACATTAAAAAAAAAAACAAAACAAAAAAACTAAATAAACAAAATAAAGATATTGTGTCCATCGAGAACTAAAAAAAATTTTTTTTAAAAAAGAAATCTATTTTTAAGAGTTTTTTAAATTATATTTTTTATTTTTTATATTTTGCCTTCATTTAAAAAAATATGATGTAAAGAGCAGTGCTATCAAATTCTCCAGAGAAAATTTGTCTTGAGTTCCAAGTCTTTATTGTAAGTGTCTTCTATGGTATACAAAGGAAAATAAAAGTGAAATATAATTACAAAGTAAAAAGACAGGTGAAATATAATATGGCTGTTCTCTTTCAGTCAGTTTTGTGACTGTTACTTCTTAATCTATGAATTTGGACTGTGGTAGCTCATGTTTTGCTTTGTGAACATGTATTATGATTTCTGCACTTTCCTACATGTACTTAAATATACAGGTTTCTGAAAAATTCCTTGGAAGATTTTAAAAAAACACCTCCTCTTAGCACAAAACTACTGTAATAAACAGCTGATTGCCTCAGAAGCCATTACAAGTTTTACTGTTTACAACCTGTCCTTTAGTGTAGACATCAAGTAAACTCAGTGCTGTTTAGTAGTATTAAAGAAAATATTGAATGCTCTCCTCATAATAACACTGGAGATTTTTCAAAGTGAGTTGGTATTAGGGAGCTTTTGGTGATCTTGACTGGGAGTGAGATGATGAAAATGGGTGTTTTCTAAATTTCTTAGAAATGGCTAGCCAAATGGTTAGTAGAAAGAAGAGACCAGAGGCAGAGATACACAATGTGAAATGATGGAATGCCTGAATTAGACTCAAAGTCAAAATTACTACCAGAGAAGCCAGGCCTATGTGTGGGGGAGCAGTCGCAGAAGATTGGTGTGGCTCTGCAGAGGAATGTTGGAAGGTGGTAGTCCAGGAGGCCCTCTCTGCTTTGCTTGCCTTTTTTTCCTTCTGTGAGATTTTATGTGCATAGGATTGGTATTTGGCAGAGAGAGAGAGAGAAGTAGGAGAGAAGCAGTGTAAGTGGAAAGGTAAAACTGGAACAGGAGGAGAAAATAAGAGAGACAAAAACCTACCAAGTAATAACAGCTATATAATATATATGATGCTTTATGGTGTAATGAAAGATATAAAACTTGAAGTCTGACCACCAGTAGTTCAAATCTAGAAAGTCTATTTCCTAATTTTCTGACTTTAAACAAATTACTTAATTTTTCCAAACTTCACTTTTTTTTTTCTAAATCTGTGAACATAGATGTGATTTTCTATAAATAAATGGTTCAATTAATACCAGATTTATTGTGTGGAACTTGAATTACTTATAGTTTGCTATCACATTCTAAGGTAACCTATCATTTCATAAGTTTCTGTAAATTTTATTTCGTGTAGGCTAGCTGCACCCAAGATGCATGATGATGAAATTATAATTGAATTTCTTCTGGAAAACAATGCTTGCATGCAGAATCAGTATCAAAGAAATCTGCAATGAAAAATCCAGAAAAAGTTGTTTAATTTTATTAAAATGCTTTCAGGTCCAGGGTTTGGGGGAATTTAGAGGAAGACTCCTTCCTTTGAAGTTTTTCTATCTTGGGGCTGGAGATGTGACTCAGTGCTTTCCAAGCAAGTATAAGGAGTTGACACAACAAACAAACAAACAAAACAAACCCTGCAAACTTTCTGAAGTTTTTCTATATTTGTGAATGTTTCATGTAGTTAGTCAAACTGAAACTTGAACATGGAATTTTGATAGTCTTGCCTGCCTTTGTCCAACTTATTCCTACCAACACCATCTTCAGGTGAAAATTCATGTAATTGCAGGGGTGGATATTCTGACACATGTTGTCAAGCTTGGCTCTTCCTCTGTCTGGTGATTTGTACAATCTTTGATTTCATCTTCATATGGATAAGATATCTGGCAAAATCAGAAAAGCCTGTCGATGAGTTTTGTCTCCAAATCCAAGCATTAGTACTTTTGCCAAGAGTGATTGCTTCTGTTTGAAAAAGAAAAGGGTGGTGGTAGGAAAGATTGCTGGTTATCTCTCAATACCTTTCTTCCTCTTCTTCCCTAATAAAATAATTTTTAACTGGATGTATGGCTGACTGAAATGAAATTTACTATTTTCTGTATCTCATGCAACCAAGAGTGGCCCTGTGATTGGCTAGTGAGTGAACAGAATCAAGTATTTAGATTCAGGTGATGCTTCCTTCCTCTTCCCACTGTTTGGGATGCAGGTGTGGTAGGCCATTTTGGACCAAATAGATGTGAGCAATCCTGAAGGCAGCAATTCCCAAACTTTGCTGCCCATTAAAATTACCTATGGGGTTTTAAAAAATCCTTTGCTGGATGTGGTGGCAGGAGGCTTGAGGCAGGAGGATCGCTTGAGTCCAGATTTTGAGACCATCTTGGGAAACATAGTGAGACCCTGTCCAAAAATAAATAGCCAACCAATCAATAACTTAACCAATGTTGTCAGGTGCGGTGGCTTATGCCTGTAATCCCAGTGGCTGGAGAGGCGGAGGCAGGATTTCGAGTTTGAAGCCGTTCTCAGCAATTTAGGGAGGTGCTAAGCAACTCAGTGAGACCTTGTCTCTAATAAAATATAAAATAGGGCTAGGGATGTGGCTCAGTGGTTGAGTGCCCCTGAATTCAATCCCTGGTACCCCCAAACAAAAAATACAAAAATAACTTACCCGATGTTGAGGTCACACCTTCTATCAATCAAACGAGAAGGATTGGACCAGACATTCTCACTTTAAAAAATCTCCATGTGATTCCTAGGTGCAGCAAAATTGAAAACAGCTGCCTTTGGAGTTCTAGAGCAAGAACATTAAAGTCAATATTGCTGACAGCATACCAGCCCAGACCTTCCTATTATAAAACCATCACAGGTCAGAGAGTAGCCTGTTGTTTGGAATTAAGTTATAACAACTGAACCTATGTAGCAGCTAATAAACATGGGTCAGAATAATCTTGTTGCCATGTTTTGCTTATTTTCCACATATTCACAAGTGGGATTTTTTTGGAGATACCTTGGTCATACTTCCTTAGTATAATACATTTTAGGTTAATCCATATTGTGGCATGCATCATTAGTTCATTCCTTCTTTTTGCTAGTATAGTGTTTATCCATTTACCAGTTGAAGGGCATTTGAGTGGCTTCCAGTTTGGGACTTGCTTTGGTTTGGGTATGGTATGAGTGTCCTTCAGGGTATATTGTGATTGAAACCTTGGTCCCTGGGGTGGTGTTTTTGGGAAGTGAAACAACCTTTGGGAGGTAGAGCCTAGTGGGCAGGCCTTAAGTTATAGCCAGGAGGTGGCTGGATAGGTAGTTCTTGTGGGACTTTGAGAGGGTTGGAAAAGCCTGAATTTGGCTCTCCCACCTTTTGCTTTCTGGCTCAAGATATAACCTTGCTCCTGCTGGTGCTTCTGTTGTTGCTCTTTGCCACAATGTGGCACAGCCAAGGGGTGGCCTTTGCCACAGAGCCTGTGCTGTTTTTTTTTTTTTATTTGGACATTAAACCTCTGTAATTGTGAACTAAATAAACCTTTCTTCACAAGTAGCTTGTATTAGGTATTTCAGTATAGTGTTGAAAGGCTGACTAATACAGGGCTGTTTTGAATAAAGCCATTATTAATACTGACTTAGGTTTTTTGGTGAATGTTAATGTTTAAAAAGTTATCTTAGATGCCTAGGTGTGGGATTACTGAGTTTGATAAGCTTCATAAGAAATTGCTAAACTGTCACTGTGCCTGTAATGTTTTGCATTCCTGCCAGCAACATATAACAGTATATCTGTGCCATAGTTGGGATAGTCATTTTCTCGCCTTTTTTTCTGCTTTAATATGTGATTATTTACCATTCATATATCTTTTTTGATGAATGCTGAGGTATTTTGTCTTTAAAATTTTTTTGCTTTTGTTTTTGAGTTTTGAGAGTGCTTTATACAGTCTAGGTATGAGTCCTTTATTGGATAGATGTTTTGAGATACTTTGTCCAAGGTGTAGTATGCTTTTTTATTTTATTTTTTTTGGTACCAGGGATTGAACCCAAGGGCACTCTGCCACTGAGCCCCATCTGCAGCTCTGTTTTGTATTTATTTAGAGACACAGTCTCACTAAGTTGCTTAGTGCCTCGCCATTGCTGAAACTGGCTTTGAACTTGTGATCTCTTGTGATCGTCTGTCTCAGCCTACAGGGCTGCTGGGATTATAGTTGTGTGCCCAGCTTTATTCTTTTTATAGTATCTTTTGAAGAGGCAGACATTTTTAATTGTGATGAACTACAGCTTATTTTTTCCTTCTAGTATTTAACAAATGTTTAATCCTGAATTATAAACAATTTCTCCTAGGAATTTTGTAGTTTTAGGTTTACATTTAGGTCTATAATGCATTCTGAGCTATCTGTTTACCTGACATATTGCAGAAGGGCTCTGTTGAGGTTCATTTTATTTTTATTTTTTGCATATCTATAGTTGCTTTAGCACCATGTGATAAAGACTATCCTTTCTCCATATGTGGGTTTAAAAAAAAAAAAAATCTCTGTTCCATCAATGCTTTTGCTACTAGCACAATGTCTAGAATACTGCAGATTTAAAATAAATGTTTAAATTAATATGTGTCCCCCAACTTTTTATATTTTCAATGATGTTTCCCCTATTTTATTTTTTAAAAAATATTTATCTTTTTTTAGGTGTAGTTGGACACAATGCCTTCATTTTATTTATATATTTTTATGTGGTGCTGGGATCAAACCCAGGGCCTCACACATGCTAGGCGAGCGCCCTATAGCTGAGCTACAACCCAGCCCTTGTTTCTCCTATTTTAATTCCTTTACCTTTCCATAGAAATTGTGAAATCTGCTTATTAATTTCTAAAAGAAATCCTAAGGGACTTATGAGTATCTATAAAAAATGCTGGGAACCTGTAAATCAATTTAGAGAGAATTGTCAGCTAAACAATTAAGCCTTCCAATGTATGAACATAGTATACCTCATCTTTTATGTAGGCTTTCCTTGAAATTTTTCCCATGATTTTTTTTAATATTGTTAGTCTATGGATGCTACCCATATTTTATTTATTTATAAGTATTTTGTGAAAAACTGGTATATTTTTGATGCTATTGTAAATCGTTCTTTAAGTATTTTAAATTGTTCATTGCCAGGATGTAGAAATGCAGTTGCATTTTGTAGATTGACCTTAGTTCTGTAATCTTGCTTATTCCAGTAGCTTTTTCAATAGTTTCTTTGAGATTGCTAGGTAGGTACTCATGTTTCCTGCAAATAGGAACCAGTCTTATTTTTTCTTTTCTTATCTAGATGCTGTTTTTTTTTTTTTCTTGCCTTTTTGCACTAAACTTTTTCCTTCAATACAACATAAATGGTAGGAGCAGGCACCCTTGCCTTATTCCTGACCTTGGGAGGAAACTTTAGACTTGTAGCGTTAAGTGTGATATAAGCTATTGATTTTTTGTAGATGCCTTTCTATCAATTTTAGGAAGTTTTTTTCTGTTTCTAGTTTGCTGAGAGTTTTATCATGAGTAAATATTGAATTTCATCAAATGTTCATAATGCATTAATTGATATGATACTTTTTCTTATGATTTATTAATTGTGAATTATATTGATTGAACTGCTTTGATTTTGAAGGATAAATCCTACTGAAGTATGAGGAATTGTTTTCATAATTGCTGGGCTCTGCTCGATAGGTTTTTGTTGAGAATCCTTGGCTTCTGTGGTTTATTTTTTAATTTTTAAATTTTTTTTGTGATGTCTTGCATCAGAATAATGCTGACCTCATGAAATTAATTGGGAAATATTCCCTTGCCCTCATCCCCATTCTGTTTTCTGGAAGAGATTGTGTAGAATTGGTATTATTTTTTGTTTAAATGTTAGAATTCTTGGAAAGCCTTTTATCTTTTGTTTCTTAGATGAGAAATAGCTATGTGGTACTCTCCCTTTTTTGCTCTGACAGCATTTCCCCTCCTTCAGTTCTGTATCTTCTGTGACCTCCTTTCCCGTCTCCCATCTTTTTCCTGAGTACCCTGTGGAGGTTTGTGGAGGAAAACCTGCAAGTGGGTATGAACTACCGTTTTACCTGTTGCTCCTAAGAGTTTTTTTTTTTTTTTTTTTCATGTTGTCCTTTAGCAGTTCATAAAGAATTTTAGCTAAATACTTCTGATCCACTTGTATGGTGGCCCCATTTTCCATTGTGCTCTGCCTCCTGTGAGCACAATGGAAAATGTGCTCACATCCTGTCTCTTTTAGATTTGAGGCTACTTCGGTAGCTTTCTGAGATTTTAAGAAAAATTATTATTATTATTTTTTTTCAATTGTTTGGCTTTTTATTGTCATCAGGACAGTTAGCAGTGTTACTAGCTTTCTACATCTGCAGTGGAAGCCAGAAATGAAAACCAATTTGTTTTGGTGTCCTATCATAGATAGTTCTGATGTTTCTCAGTACAGGGCTTAAATTTCATAGAAATGGGTATTTCCTGAGCTTGATAAGTGTCTTCACATTCAAGACGTCCTATCAGTGTAGAGTTCTTTAATAGTGCTACCAGCCTTCTTTTTTATTATTCCTTGTAGTACCTGGATTGAACCCAGGGGCACTGTTCCACGGAGCTACCTGCCATCCCTTTTATTCTTTTATTTTGAGACAGGGTCTTGCTAAGTTGCTGAGGTTAGCCTCAATTGTGCAATTCTTCTGGCTCAGCCTCCCGAGTAGCCGGGATTACAGATGTGGGCCACTGTGCCCAGTGCTGCCAGCCTTCTTGACTGAAATGTATTATGAGTTTTATTTATGTACCCTGAAACTTTACTCATGAGTCATATATTGCTTGGATCAGGCAGTTCTTTTAAGATTTCTTGCAAGATCTTTGCCTCATTTTTACTGCTAAATTCTGTAGTCTTTGGCTAGATAATTCTTATTCCTAAATAATCATGTGGCTGAACTGAACTAGACAGTCTCCAGATGAAGGGATTTTCAGATATGGTTTGCCAACTTTCCCCAAACCTTGGGTAGAGATGTGCCTGCCTGTTCCTACTTATACCATTGTAATGACATCTTGTCTTTAAATTTTGTTTTCTAATCCCAAAGAGTCAACTGAGACACATTTCCAAGCTAGTCTTTTCTTTTTACCACATCAGTGTTGTGGTATGAACTCTAAATTGCTGAGAAGTTGTATGGCTTAGTTTTTAGTAGCCCTGGGATTATGGTATCATGTTTGAAACATGAGTTTTTATGTTGAATTCACTAAGAATTCCTTGGCGAGAATCAGTGGTGGGTTGGGGCAACATTGGCAGTACTTTAAACTATTCTAGAGAGAAGAGGCACTGCAGAGCCAGAGATCTGGGACAGAAGGCAGTGAGATAGTTGTGGGAAAAAATAGAGATGGGTTGTACCTGGTTTAGCATACCTACCAAAAAAAAAAAAAAGCCTCAGTTCCCAGTTCTCAAAATTGGTCCCAGTTAAATCAGGGGTTTGATGATTAGGTGCCTTCAATATTTGCAGTCCTTTATATGATTAATTTATCCTTGACAACTTAGTTTGTATCTTTCCTGTTTTAGCCAATGAATGATTCCAGGATGTGGGAGTCATCCAGGGAGGTATACTGTCCCATTTACTACTTACTAACTTTTTGTATTCTAATTGATTTTCCTACCTTAGTCTTGCCAGCCCTTATTCCATCTTCTGTATTGCTTAAAAAAAAAAAAAGTACTAAAACAGAAATAAGACTCTGTAATTGCTGCTTAAATCAAGGTCCTTCATCATTTAGTTTAAGAGATGCTGCTTTCTTTGCCATGGTGAAGGCCCAATATTACCATATTATATTCATTCCTGTTGAATCCAGATTCACCCTTAGATTTTTTTCATTATACTGTGTTCTAAGCAATCACTGTTAATTAGAGTGGGCTTGTGAAATGGAACCCTGGCTTGGGTTTCTAAGGGGGCAGAAAATACATTTAAAGGTGGATTAAGACCCCTGCCCATCCTGGACATTCTTTGATCATTGATCTTAGTGGTTCTGATCTGGTTGAACATCAGAATTGCTGGTGGGTTACAAAACACTCAGGCATCTCCATAGACCTGCACTCATACGTGTTAGGCATTTCAATCCAAGAATTGTTTATTTAGCAAGTCTTACCAGAGATGCTCACAAACATCCTGGGAATCCTTGTCTATTTTTTTTTTTTTTTTTTTGGTAGAGGGGCACTCAACCACTGAGGCACATCCCCAGCCCTATATATATTTTATTTAGAGACAGGGTCTTACTGAGTTGCTTAGCACCTAGGTTTTTGCTGAGGCTGGCTTTGAACTCGTGATCCTCCTGCCTCAGCCTCCTGAGCCACTGGGATTACAGGCATGCATCACAGTGCCTGGCCTCATCTCTGATCTTATTATTAAAAGTGTGATCAGCAGATCAGCAGCATCAGCACCAGCCTTGTCATATAGAATATTAAGCTTGACTTAAAACTGTCTGCAGGTTATGGTAACATCCAGGTCATTCTTGTGCACAGGAAGATCTGGGACTCCCTGGTCTGTGTGTCTTCTAGATGCAGAGCCAGAACTGTGCATTGTGCTCTTGAAATGTGGTTCGATCAGATCACTTACACTGGGTCTCAAGGTCTCAGTCCTTGTGCCCTTTCTCTCAAGTAACCATCATTCCCTTGGTGACCTCATCATATAATTTCTATGATGTCATCTCCCAATCTATTTTTTCTGCCCATACAGTTCTCCTAAATGTGTCTAGGCTCATTTGTCCCATTATCAACCTGCATTTTTTTTTTTTTAATGGTACTGGAAACTGAATCCAGGGGTGCTTTGCTAATAAGCTACATCTCAAGGCCTTTTAATTTTTATTTTGTGACAAGGTCTTTCTAAATTGCCCAGGCTGGCTTTGAACTTGGATCTTACTGCCTTAGCAGGAGTTACAAGTATGCACCACTGTGCCTGGCTCTCACTTGGATTTCTTGTGCACATCTCAGGTCACATCCCTTGCACTGTCTGCCATGTACCCTATTCTTATATGTCATTTCCAGAGTCTTTCTCTTCTTATCATTTGCAGCTCCATCTCTTTACATAGTCTGATATTGTGGGTGTTCTCCTTGACTCCCTTTTTCTCTTACTCCAGATTTAATCCATTAGGAAATTCTGTAAAGTCCATCTCCAGGGTAGATCCAGAATCCAGTCACTATTCCCATTGTTCACACTCCAGGTAAAGGGACCCATATATCCATCCTGGAGCATAGCACCAGTTCCTACATTTTCCCCTATAGCCTTGCTAGCATTTGTT